AGAGAGGAGAGAAGAGAGGAGAGAAGAGAGGAGAGAAGAGAGGAGAGCAGGGTGAGAGACGTAGAAATCAGGAACTGGACAAATCCCACCCGAACATCGCCAGGGATTTGCCATGGTTTCTGGTGTTCGGCACGTGGATCTTCCGCACAACCGATCGACCGTGGCCCTTTTTGAGGGAACCGATCATGTCCGATCTGGCGCACTCGCACCACTAGGAACACGTCTGATATGATGATGTCTTTCAGGCCATCATGTTTCGAAGGTGTGGATCCACAGCACCTTCTTTCTTCTCAGGGCCTGAGCCGACCTGAGAGTGCCTCTCAAACTGGCACTGGGAGTGACAAGTGCAAATCAAGAAGTTTCAGCCTTCTTTTCAGCCCAACAGATTGGACATTGAGTGAAACAGACCGTTTTTCCGCCAGTCCCACCCTTCAATTTGTATTGAGTTGTTACGTTGCCTTCCCACCACAAGTCCCACCCCCTCGTCCACTCTACCGTCGTGAGTGGCCCGGACCTGTGGTGGTCGAGGCATGGGCATCCTCTTCATCAACCTGGTGACAGGTGGCTAAGCTGATAGGATACACTGAGCTGTACACTGGATACACTAAGCTGATTGGCCACTCGATTCGTTCGTTGGAGAATGGCATCTCTATAGATCTCTTGGGGTTGATAAGCCAATCAGCTTGGCTTGCTTAGTTATACTGGATACTCATGACTCTAAGTCATGTTTAAAAAGAGTTTGCTAAACTTGTGGCCGCGGCCTCTGTGAGGAAAGCACTACTGGCAGCTGAGCGAGCATGGAGAGACAGCGGAGGCCCCACACACACCTCCCCCCGCCCGAAGACCTTCTTGATGAGAAGACCTGGCGTGGCACGGAGTTCCATGGCTTCACACAGCTGGGTGCATGGGACACGAATCAAACGGGGCGCTCCGGGCATTTGTTGGTAGTAACAATGACAAGAAGATCAAGAAGCTACGAACGGAACAAAGGGCATCGCGAACCGAACGGAGCGGTCGGACGCTCCAAAAATAGGGCGACACCCTGGCCCTGGCTGGGTAGACTATGGTGGACTGGTAGTTCGGACTGGTCAGACGGACACCCGAAGCTTCCAGGGGTTCGGAACACCTGGGAGGTCTCCCGTGTCATAAAAACGACACACTTCATTTCAACAACTGGGTGAGTTCCTCAGATACACTGTCCAGGACAGGACTCGGAAGGGCTCAGAGTCTTCCCAAATGGTTTGTGTAGGCGAAAAAACATGTCGGGATGAAGAAGCCAAGAGTTCTGTTCAACCCTGAAAACTTGGGAACTCTCGGGCAGATTGAACCCAACAGGTCCTCATATTTGTTCTTTCGTTAAATACCCCTAACCAGACAATTGTCGTGGGGTTCTCACCAAGCCTCCCCTGTTCTCCAAGCTTGGCAGGCGTTCTCCAGGTTTGACCTGGGGTTGTTTCCAGGATTTATGAGGGTTTAAGTAAGAGGGTCCCAAGGTCTTCGGAGCATCACCAAGTTTTTCGGGAGATGAATTGATCAGCAGGTTGTTCCCCTCCCAAAGACAGGAAAACTGACGAATGAAACATGAAAGAAGCACAGTCTTCTCTACAAACAAGTGAACTGGGGTGTCCATGCACTTGTGGTGGGTTCCCTCTATGTTGACTTTCACAAGGTGTTTGATCCTGTCATCACTCAGTCAAGTGCTTGAGGGGTACTGGGGTCACTCATCACCTTTAATTAGTGCCGGTTTGGGAGTTCATGTTGAATGATGCTCAATGGATTGTTAACCGAAAAGGTAACAGACCACTTGGGTACCCTTTGTACATCGGATATCTCTCTATTATCATAAATATGATTGTATATAAATATAATATATATATATATGATATGTGTGTGTGCCCATCCTCCATGTCCAAACCCCAAACCTCGGCAGCGATAGGAAATAGCCAAGCCATTCCTTTTCTGTGTCTACTTGCATGATTGATGATTCTTTACTTGAGAATGGTCAACAAGATCTCTCCTGGATTCTGCCGGGTTTGATCTCACATCATCAGGGGTACCTACCCGTACACCGAAACGTGCCCGGCTTGATTTTGCCCAGGTTCAGAATGCAGGGCTTGGACTTCGCCAAGGAGATGATCCAAAGCCCCGAAGCACAGCGCCTCTCAGCAGAGGAAGCCTTGGAGAGCTTCTGGCTGAGGGGCAAACAAAACGGCTGTTGCACGATCAACTGAGCGGCAGGTGGTTGAGATGCTGAGATGGGTGTCAAAGAATGGAGAAGCCACAAATGCTTGTGGTCCGGTCAATTTGAGAGTGGCGAGCAGTTGTCGTTCAAATCTGTCGTTGGTCACGTCGTTGGTTTCTGAGGGTGTTGAATTGATTGGAACCACATTCCTTGTAAGTCAGCACATGTGCCCCGGAGGGGCGTGTGTCACGTGGAACACAAGTGGGTGACGAGAGTTCCGGTGCCGCGAAACGCCCGGTGTGGTGGAACCACTGCTCTCGCCTTCCAGCAGTTCAGCATGTCAGCGGAACATGCGTTTTCCAACCATGGGACAAGCCCGGCCGGGTTGCCGTTTTTGGGCGGGTTGCTTTTGACAAGAATATGAGAGAGTCCGTCAGCCAAGGATCAAATGGACCAAACTGCTGTACCTGCAGATGAGCAGCATATTAGCTCTAAATCGCCTGATATATATTATGATGTTTTGGGATTTGCGTCAGGGGTACCAATTAATTACCCCTTGTTGGTCAAGAATGCAACTTCTTTGCGTTGAGATGCAGCTTCCCAGGTCCGACGCGCCGCATTTTTTGCAACGCTGGAATGGTCAGCTAGGTCGGTCTGCCCCGAAGATGACCCTATTTTGAGGTAATGGCTCCTTTCCCCACAGCCACATGGCAAAGGGACTCAAACACAGGGGTGGCCCCTAGGATTCAAAAAG